TGATCTACAGTTTCCCCTGTGTTGAAAACAATGAAAATGTTTTATTAAAGACTTCTTCAGAACAAAATCAATTGATTTCACAGTGCATGGGCGAGAACAGGCTGGGAACTAGATACCCTGATGTGGAGGACAGTTGATGTTACTGTTTTATAATAGTTTCCAAAGCTTTTAATACAGCCTGGAAATGTGTATATATATATATATTTGTATAAAATGATTTGATACTTTTTTTTGTAGTGAATACTTTTTATGGCAAAGCTCACTAGTGAAAAATGCTTGTGTTCTATCAAATTGTATCAGTCCTTTGAAAAATGAAGTAAAGTCTGATTTAAAGCTAGTGCACTGGATTAATCAGCTACTCCTGAATAGCATTCATTGACCCTGTTCATTCAGGGACTGTAATTAAGAAAAACAGCAGTGACTTTAAATTTGGCACCTGAATCACAAGGTTAAAGCAGTAAATTTCTAAGTCTGCTTTCTGACAGGTTAAGAGGAGGTATCTGTTGTCTCACTGATGAACAGAAGCGCTCACCTACTAGCAGAGAAGCAGTGAGGGAGGGAGAGAAAGACAGGCAGAGGGTTATGGAGGATTTTCAAGGGTTATGGAGGATTTTCAGAATTGTTAAGACACTGAAGGAAGATACCTCTGTCCCTGCAGACTTACAGATGTAAAATATTTGTACTAAACAGTGCTTTAGATTACTATTTTTTAGTCCTTACCTTACTGTAGAAGATTCAAATTCTACTAGTTTCTAGTTAAGGACCATAGAAATTGCTAAAGTTTGAAATCAAAATAGGGAGAAGTCTTGCTTTTTTAGGAAAACAGTGCTTCTTGCAGTCAAAAATTAGGACTTAAGCCCTAATTCTGCCAAAATACCCGTATTGGGACACTGCTGCCTACTGCTGTCCTTCTGAAGTAGATATGCAATTGGAAGTCAAGGGACCTCTTGCCACTGTAGTGATATATCTGGATGGATGATAATGGATGATGATTCTGTAACAATTTTAGGCCAATAAGGCTATTACAAATAAAAATGCAGCATCGTATTTTCAGCACTTGCAATTCAGCTGTTATTGCAGAAGCTCTGCTTTATTTTATTAAAGGTCATAATGGACTATTAGAGTGTCTAGGCTGTTCTTCAGTAACTATGGACCATTAAGTAATCCCCGTAACTAAATAAGAAGCTCAAAAAATTATAATTACAATAAACCATTTTAATCCTTAGGTTTCTAAATTGTATGCCACAGGTACTGAAGAGGAGTAACTCACATGCCATCTGTGTCCAAAAACACATTAATAATGCTGGCTGAAGGCTTTCTGAGATCAAATCTCTTGCATACTAACAGGTTAATAAACATAAATTCCAGATGAATTTTGTTACTCTTTTTCTCTATAAGCCACATATTTGTTTCATACATGAGTTATGTTCTATAAAGCATTTGAGGTGAGGCTTACATTTGTTGTTTATACAGCTCCTGATTAGTTTTGAAGTTATTAAGTACCAGTTATTAAAATTGCCGATTGGTTTGGCCTTTTTGCACTGTCATACAGGGAGCAATTCTTGTTACTCCTTTTCCTAGTGTTGCATGTAGTCTATAGGTTGATGCTTCATTTTCCAGTCCCAATTTCTGCAAGTTAGGCAGAAGATAGAAGATAAAATACTTCAGTATATTGGATTGACAACAAGAAACTTTCTAGCAGCTTTACCTGTGCTTTCCTGGCATAGTATTCCATCCACTGTTAGTATTTACTGTGTATTTCTTTTCTCTGCAATATAACTCTTGCTTTTGTCTATTCATCTGGATGCCAGCTAGAAATTATAATAAAAAGACTGCCGTCCAAATGGATTCCTGAATGCTATTATAGAGCATGGCAGGTGTAACAAACAAGCTTAATAAAAGTAGTTCCCACTTTGCTTCAATAAATGGAAAGGTTGTTTGTGTCCTTGGTTGGATAGTAGTTGTCCTAGCTTTATTTCTTGTTTATTCCATTGTAGTATACATGTGAGTGCAGCTTTTAGCATATGTATCTTTAGTGTTCTTTAAAATCAAAATGCTTAAATCAACATTTTTTTCTATTAAGGTAAAGAGATGCGTTTCATACGATCCACAAAATACGTTTCCAATATGTGCCCTTTTTAATTGCTTTGCCAATTAAGATTTCTCAAGCCTAGCTAATAAATTTCTGCCTAACTGTGCACTTACGCAGAATATGAGCAAAATGTAGACACCATTCAGATGTGAAGACCTATTACAAGATTGAAATAGATTTCTAATGCATTTATCATTCATCTTTGCAGAGTGTGATTTCAATCAGAAAAAAAAATGATGAATGGTTTGACAGTTTCCAACCATATACGCTAAAACATAATATGCTTCTGCTAGTTTTCAGCTATTACAGACTTTAACATGCAATGTGACCTTGGTCTGCAAAGCATGTTTGGTTAGCACAAAAACTTAATCATAAGAAGTCATAAGTAGAATCCTTCTTCTTTACTGCCCTTTTTCTGGGACTTGGAAATTTATTGCTTGTGGGACAGGTAGGATATGAACAATGGGCCAAATAGAGTCCAGGGTTATCTCATCTGTGTGAAAACTGCTGCTGAAAATCGATGTGACCTCTGCTACACTGTCATCCCAATTCCCACCCTCTGTGTCCTATTTGTCTTTTGGTAGAAGCTTAGATCTGTGTGCTGTCTCTATGTGTCTCTCTTAGGCCAGATTATCAAAATGAATCATTGCCTGCATACCTCTTATATTTCTATTTATTTTCCTGGTGTTGACTAGGTCTGATGAAATATGATTCTTTTTGCATTTGATCCTCACTGCAGCAAGCAGCACCTAATTTAGCTGTGTCTATCTCTTTAAAGAAGAGTAATACTATTTTGAAACTTCAATCTACTGTACAGTAACATTACAAACCATAGACCATGCAACCTGTCTCCACAGTCAATAGTAATTTTCCTTTCAGCCAATTTAATGTTATTACTTTCATCTCCAAATAGTAGAGATTTCTAGAGATTTTAAAGCAGCTGTAGTTTTCTGCTATGCATACTTTATGCATTAGTTTCTTTTTCAAATGCCACTTCTGTTGAGTCTTTTGTGACTCCATGGCTTAGATATTATTTCTGTGTAGCATCATATGCAAAAACTAATGAATTTTAAAAACTGTGTCACTGATATAAAATATTTAAATATGAGAAGCAGAATAAATCTGAATCAGCAAGAACTCCATGTTCCAAGTATGTTACCAGAGTTTTTTGAAGAGGGATCATTTAAATTTGAATTACATAAATACAGCTCTAAAATGATAGCTACATAGATGTGAAGAGGTAACTGGCTTTTGTTATTATTAATACTGAAGAAACGTTATGAAGATGTTCCGTTTAATGAACTCACTCACAGTGACAACAAAATACTTCCTAAACATAGATTTCAAAGAATACTTGAAAACGGCTATTACTCCTGGGTTAGTTGTCAGTAAGCGTGTTTTAGAAACAGCCAAAAGAGCTTGCTGCTCAATAGATGCTCCTAGAATTTGTTAAACGAGATAATATTGCTGCTGTAAAGACACCATGGTTGAATTTGTCATTTTCGGATTCTTTCTGCATTTTTTTGAAGTAAAAGAGGTGGGAGAAGAAGGCTTTTTGAATATGGTGTGATCTAATTGTAAATCCTAGAATTAGAATAACCAAGGCACTGGACAAATGAAACGATCAGAACTGACTGTGCAATTGCCCTTAGAAAACACATGCTTCATGAACTTATGGTCAAGCTTTTCTAAAAAGCTTTCAAGCTTTACTAAAAAGCAATTGCTGTGAAGAAAATCTTCATGATTTCTGCAAGTGACAAAGAAATTAAAGAAACATATTATATATAGACTGATTTCCCTGGAATGTTATATTTTTTAACATTTTAGACTAAAAAAAACGTACAGAGGTTGGCTTTCAAGACTGCTAAGAGATGTAAATTATATGATTTTCAGCAGTATACATGAGGTTTAAATGAATATCTGGAAATGAAGTAAACAAAGGGATTTGAGAGTAGGGGACATGTCTATTATCCTAAGATGTCCTTACATTATGCTGTTCTTAAATGTTAGTTCATTGGTGGTCCTACTGATTCATAACAAAATGTGAAGGATTTTTGAAAAATAATTATTAATGTTGCTTCTGTTTGGGTACGCATTGATATTGTGAGCGGACAGTATGATCTACATGATCTACTGTCATGAACAACATGATCTACTTCCAGTAGCGAGGGGAGGGGGAGCTGCTAGGTCCCGATTCTGCAATTTGTGAGAGATGCAGCAGCCCAGTGACGTGCTGCGACTGCAGGAGCAGGGCTCTCTGCCTCTGTCAGGGTGCCACCACCTTGCCGATGGCTCTCGTCCTCTCCGGCCTCACCTTGTGCGTCCCAGAGAGGAGATAACTCAGCAAAGCATCTTTGGCTACGGTCTGCGACTAGAAGGGCTGACAGTAGCCAGGTACTTGTTAAGTAAACCTGCACTGACGCTTTCCTGACAGCTTCAAGTCAGTGCTAGCTAAGCAAGAAGGAATGACTCAGTGGAGATTGTTTACTGCTGAGTATGGGAAGCAAAACATTAAAGGAGTGAAAAGATGTGATACATTTCTTGATTAGAATTTTTTTCAACAACAGAACAACAAAAAATGTTCATTACGGAGTAAGAAACAGGATAGAATGATGGAAAGGCATTCAGATTTAATGAACTGTATAACACCATCATAATTCTGTAGTATAATTCTGTAGAATTTGAAATCTAACAGTATATACTCTATTATACCGATGTTACAGTCTTTATTTATTGTTCTTCTGTACTCTTCTGCAAACTTGCCTTAGCTACAATCGTGGCTACCCAAAAACTGAAACAATGTCAATGTCAATGTCAATTTTATTTTGAACCTAGTTTCTAGAAATTAGACTTACCTGTATTTCCATGCTTTCTGATGTTGCTTTTAAACATGTCTTTACAGAGGAGGTCCAAATTGCCATTCCAATAATGAAACCAACTTTAGATAAAGTCCAACTGGCTGGACAGGCCTTGCCTCCCGGATTTCCGGCGCCATTTCTTTTCGCTGATGGTCTTTCATCAGTAGAAACGCTATTAACCAACATTCAGGTAAATTATTCTCCATAGGGCCAGACTATATCATGACAGATAAAATGTATTTCTTTTTCATCCCTTTAAAAAGTTTCAGAAACTATTTTGTATCTGCAGTTCTCTGTCTTTTTTTTTTTTAAAGTAATGCTTAGATTTTGACTCTCTGGCGTTATAGACATTAAAAGGGTTTTATGCATTGTCTGTTTGACCTAATAGTTGGCAATAGTGGTCATATTGAAATTCAACAGTCTCATTATTCCTCCTTTGCTTCTCCTTGCAGTTGACTGAGGTCAGAAATGATATGGCACTCCATTTGTAATAAACCACATCAGTCGGATGAATTTGCAAAAGCCATTTTCAATGATTCCACGCAACAAAATTGCTCATAGCTTATAAGATATAACATTCAGCTACTTCAGATGCTCAGTTGCACTCAAAGTCTAGAGGCTTCTGCTTTCTTAGAGGAAGTAGAAGAAACAAAGGGATGAATTTTGTCACTGTTAAACAAAATGTTATTTTCAGGTCTTACATTTGCATGTGTTTTAGGGCCTACTGAAGGTGGCTGTGGACAATGCCAGAGTGCAGGAAAAGCAGATACAGCAGGAAAAGAAAGAGTTAAAAATGGAACTTTGTAGAGAGAGAGAACTAAGAGAGAGCTTGGAAAGACAACTTACAGCTGAGCTGCAAAGCAGAGGTGAGTGAATGAAAAATAGAGTTTAGATATCTATTAAATTTATAACCCCTTGGCATTTTCAGCTGGAGCTACTGAGAACTCAGAGTTAATGGACATTCCTACTTAAGTGTAATGCAGCAGTGGACTAGCTCTGGTAATGAAATATTTAATAAAAACAGAATGAAGCACACTTTTCCGTTAAGCAGACAGAGCAGTGACTGAAGGATTATTTCCTGGAGGGCAACTGGACCCAGAATTTTGGCTGATTCTTTGGAGGAAAGCTGATTCAGTTGCCTGGCTTTCACACATATTATTACCATTCTGCCTGTTTATTCCCAGCCTGATTTCTTCATCTGACACCTTTCATTTCTTTTGTTTCCTGCTGTTATCCTTCAAGCACTGAGGATCAGTCTTCTTTTGAGAAAGATAATACAGCTGTAATTTGTGTGTTTAGGTAACTTTTTTTGATCACCTTACCATTTATCTAGCCCACATTTCCTGAATGATTGTGATTGCTGTAGCCGGTCAGCTGTTTTTTCTTGTAATAACTTCATAACTTGTAAATAACTTGTAAATTACTTTTTTTGTAAATAATTTTTTTCTTGTAAATAACTTCACTACAACAAAATAGATCAACTACTAGAAGTTGCCTATGCAGGATCTGATGAAAATAGATAATCTAGATAATTTGTTTTGCATCATGAGAGTAAGTTACAATAAGACTCCCAATATGGGGCCCCCTAAGATAACACCATGACTCTTCAGAAGCTTTTGATAATAATAGGCAATTAAATGCATAAATCTAATTTTTTTGCTATCATATTGTAGAGAAGGCAGTTTTCTTTTTAAAATTCAAATCTGCACCTAAAAGGGAGGAATAGAAGTGTGTGTGCTAAAAGCTACTTCTCGATTACATCCGTGAAACTGGAAAGATAAAACTTGATAAGACCAAAAATGTAAGTGCCAAGTACTTTTTGCCTGTGCATTTTGAATGGAGATTAGGTGTGTGGAACACACCTGTCTACAGCTCCAAGGCTCAGAAAAGAGGCTGGCAAAGGGGGCCACTTTTAAGTTCAAGTCGTGAAGGGTCAGTAAATCCTATTGCAGTCGTTACATTGCAGTGGACGTTCAGAATTGTTGCGTCACCCAGTTGAAGTGTAGATGAGTCTGCTGTGTTTCTGTAAAACAAAATGGCATTCGTTATGGCATTCATAATTTATTCAGTTTCTTGGAGACTACCCATACAATTGCATCCCTTTTTTTCCCCCCTGACTGAAGCGCTCACAAATCCAGCAAGATATGTACAAGCACGTGTGAATTCAGATGAACATGTGGTCACAAAAAATTATGAAATCCTGTAAATACCTAACCATTTTCCCAGAATTTTTCAAACATTCTTAGTGATTTTTCTAAGAGCACTTTTGTGACTTGAAATTCACAGGTATCTAATATACAGAAAAGGTGAACAAACAAGATTGCAAAATACCGCCAGTGTAATATTTGTAAATGACTTTTGCCATAGTGTGTACAATAGAGAACTTGACTATAACATGGACAGTAATGTAAACAGGGTATTTATTTTTGAGCTCAATTTTTTTTTTTTAGTCTATTAATTTTACTTACCTTTTCTAGTTCCATTGCTTCTCTGTTTCATTCAGTAATGAATCCATGGCATAAAGTACTACTCTATGGAATTTGGCTACATATATGAACGGAAGCAGAAGCACTCTTAAGTTACAAATCTTTGTGATGACATGATCCAGTCAAGAAGACAAGGCCAATTAGCTTTGCACACAAGAAAAAAAATCCAGTGGCTATTTAAATAAACCAATTTAAATAAAGCAATTTTAACGACCTTCACAAACAAATCAATTTGAAATTTTCTTTTGCATTTTCTAAAAGTTGTAATTACAATAAAAAGTAATTGAAAAATAATTGAAAGGTGTTTTACATTAGCTTTCTCTGTACGTACAATAAATATTTGCCTGAAAAATGCTATTGTTTTACCAAATTTGTAATGTAAATAAACTATCTCTTTATAAAATATACTAGCATGTCCTACTCTATTCCCATATTTTTTTTAATGCTACATTAAAAAAGAAGACAACAATTAGACCGATTCTGCACAACTGTAATCCATGCTCAGCTCTGCCTCCTGCTCCCAAGCTTGTTTGGCCCGCCTGGGCTCAGCAGAAGCCTCCCCTGTTTTGCCTGTTGCTCTGGGACCACTGGGATCTGCGTCAATCTGATGGAAAGAAAGGACTCTATTCGGCCCCTCCAAAGCATTTTTTGATCCTCTCTGCAGGCTGGGATAGGTTTTGCAGTTGTATCACTGTTCCTATGGTCTGGACTATGTTACGGATGTAGTCTTCAGCCCCTTCCACAGCTTGCTAAAACGTGTTCTCCTGCTAGTTCTGAGAAAGGGGAAATTGTGGCCAACAGCCTCGGCCCAGCCACCCTTCATCATGGAAATCAGACATGAGCTGGCCTACACCAGATTTGCTGGAATGAGGGCGGAGCCTGAGGGGAGAGTATTTCCTAGGTGTAGGGCATGCTCAACAGAAAGGTGCTGATGGCAGTATAGAGAACCTATCGAACAGTTTCAACCAGGGAAGGTAGTTGCAGGTCACGTAAAGAGGAGACATAAGAGAATGTTTTTGCAGCACTGGTGAAAGAACAAGTGTAAGAGTCCATTAAAGATAGTTTAATAAGGATAATCAGGAGAGTCTGTTTCCTAATAGAGCACAGGAAGGGTGGTTGTTGGCACAGGTGGATATTTTGGATTTAGTTTCGGCTCAGGTAATGGTAACCTGGTGCTGGTGAACAGCTTAAAGGGTCCATTTTATTGCTTGAATTTATATAGTTGAGGGAATACAGTCAAAGCTATTGTAAGCAGTTCCCAATGAAGATATGGATCCCCTGGCTATAATGAATATTGTATAGTTTTCTAGTTATAGTTTGAACTTTACTTATAGTTGGGTTTAGGATTAAGGTTAGCAACAGAGATCTGTTTTCCGCCAGATCTTATAAGGCTGTACCAATGATCTGTAGAAGATCTTGTGAAGTCACTGTTTCTGCTTTCCAGCTCTAAAAGAGAGAAAATTAGATGACTTTTTGTAAAGAGCACTGAGATCTATTAATGCAAAGCCATACAGAAACACTGTATTATTGTATTGTTATACATTTTTAGGCCAAACAGCTAGTTAGTACACTGAGTCTTACACAGTGCGGTGGTTAGGAAGAGGAACTGCTAATGAAGAGATTGTAAACAAGTTCTTGATTTACTTACCGTTGTTACAAACCTGTTTTTCAGCCCGCTTTCTACCCGGGAAGTTCCTTTTTAGTTTCTCTTTGATAGTCTCACCGTGCATCCAATGCTTTTCTGTCTGTCTCCTTTCATTGGCTTCCCCTCTTTTTTCTCCCACTAGTGACAAAGAGGGAAAATACTCTTGCTCACAGACATCCTTATTTGCATCAATACTTAGCCCCTTCTGCATGTATTTATCTTTCATTTAAGAATGTATCCACTTAACTCAACTTCTCAACAGCCTTACACGTGACTTCCATCTTGAGCAATACTTCTTGTTATTTCAGTTATCCTGTTCCAAAATTGACCCAACTGCTGCTCCATTTTTGCTAAAAACTTACCCACTTATCTCCATGGGTTTTCATTCTATACACCATTGTTACTGACGCTCCCAGTTTTCAAACACTGGATAGTTAACAGTTCTCATAAAAATACATTTTTTTTGCTTTTAATATTAGAAAATGTAACTGAAAACAAACCTTTGAGACATCGCGCGAGTCAAAAGTCTTTTATTTCCACAACACTCAAGGTGTGGTGTGGAGGGGCACCAACCATGGGGCAGCTCATGGGTGGCGCGTTGGCTGCGTGCCGAGCTGTGAGCAGCTGTGTGATATGAGTGAGCTGGGCACGCCTGGGCAAGCAGGGTGGCACGTCTTGTGAAGGGTGCTCTCCAGACAGGTGCTCACAGACAGTGAATGTGAACGCTGAGGTAATTCTCATAGCGAGCTACGTATATTCAGGGCACTCACAGACATACCCGTACTACCGGTGTCCTTGGTTATCTTTCTAGATAAATCTGTTGGAAGAGGTGGATAGAATGTGATTCTCGGCATTAAGGGAAAAGATTAAAAAGTAGGGTAAGAGATCTATTTTGGTTGCTGAGGACTTAGATTGGTGTCGTTGCTAGAAATGAGTTTAAGCCAATGATCCACTCAAACAAACTCTTGAGAACTGTAAGCTGAAGCTGGTCCAAATCTGTGAAGTCCATGTAATGCAAACCATTGGCCTGATTCTGATACTTATTCTGTCAGGTTCTGACCAACAGAATTAAATCAATGGGGCTGTTCCAGAGTGTGAACATGATTTAAGATCCTTCAAGTTACAAGATCTAAAGCCCTTTCAGATTGTTCATTGTTTCACAACAGGATTTGGTTTGAGTTTTTTTGTTTTTATATCAGACCCATGCCAGAGCTTTTTGTCTTGAGCTAGAAATGGGCTTTTAAACATTGCACATAAACTTATTTACCATCTCCATTATATATTAAGTGTGCTTTAACAGCCATTCTTACAATACATTTACATTTCAGCAACAATTCAGAAACGCTTGAAGAAAGAAAAAAAGGCAAAGAGAAAATTGCAGGAAGCTTTGGAATTTGAATCGAAGAGAAGAGAACAAGTGGAACAGGCACTTAAACAGGCCACATCAGGTGACGGTCTCAGGATGTTAAATGGTAATGTTTTAGCTGGCCTTTCACAGTTAACTTAAAATGATGTTTAATTAAGTGAAAAACATAGGATGATGCACAAAGCCAATTCTATTATAAGAAACACAGTCCTTTCCTGAAATAATGAAAATCTGTTTCAGGACATGTGTTCTGGGTCATGAATTAAACAAAAAATAAATAAGTCTCTAACTAGAGAAACAAATAGAGCAGTTTTAACCTAGGCACGACAAGAAATACTGAATACATTACCAGAGAAATCTGTTACAGTGCTAGCTAAGACAATGTGAAATTTGGTTCTTACAGGTTCTCTGAACTCTTCTCTCCTAGCATGTTCAATCTTAGAGCAGCTGAGCTTCATTTTAAAAGCTATTGGTTTAAAGTTTGATCAACCTCAGGATCTGTTAAGTTTGTTAAATATGTATCAGCTTTCAGAGCTGACTAGATTTCAAATACTTCCCAAATAGCCATGTGAAATAAAACCAAATCATTTAATTTCATAAATAGGGTGATCGTGTTTTGGATAGTGAGAGGATTCACCTCTCTTGCGTAACAAGTTTCTGACCAAAGTTGAGAACTGTGGTGTAAAGTGTTAGGAATGAACCTAGTTGAGTTTCAGGTAATTTCAGGTTCTGCAGTTAAGGTTTATTCTGTGCGTGTCTACCCTGAAGTCTCTGCAGGCTTATCCAACAGAGGCTCATGAATCAGACTTACATTGGAGTCTCTGCTGCACTTGTAGGTCGTGTAGTCTTTTAAGTTACTTTCTTCTACATAGTTTGGGTACTGCTAGCAACTGAGCCATAACATAAGCAGACTGCAAAAACTCTGTGAGCTGCAGAGTAAAAATAATCAGTTTAACCTGTCCTGAGCTCTTAGTTGTGAGGGCAATCCAAACTGTTTTTTAAAGTTAGGACAAGCCTCCTACATGAACTGCCGTCGCAAACCTTTGCAATGTACTCTGAGTCGTGATTTATTTAGAGCACCTAAGAGACATAAACTCTTTAACTGCTAGTGCAACATCTTACAGAAGCATTCTCATCTGCTGGATTTTATAGTCTAGCATATCACTGTAACCAGAAGCTGGCTGGCTTTTGTGGATGTGCTGACAGTGAACTGTGGTGTGGTGATTCAGGAATGAATATACAGCTTTCAGCTGTGCCGTGATAAGGGACAATGACCCAACAGCAAGGGGGTAGACAGAGCCAGCGGTAACCTTTTTGGCCACCTCCACTGGATTGGAAAAATGCCCAAATTAGATTGCACAGGCATAGCCAACATCCAGAGATGACTGCTGGAAAAAAAACAAAAATCCTGATTTCTATAAGGTCGTTCACCTAAGTTCTGCCATTGCTGGAAAGCACCTGCACCTCTCACTCCAGTGAGGAGTACTCAGCAGTTCTGAAAGCCACAAATTAAAGGGTACCGACCTATGCCAGTGGTGCGATTAACAGGTCTTTACACCTGCTATTGTGGGCCTAGCTGCTAACATTTTGATTTGCAGGCACACTCAGGTAGTCATATATATGTTAGTGCCTGCAAGAAGCTGATATTTACATGCTAATCTGATTGCACATGCAAATCAGGTAGCTCATTAGCATCTTAATCCACAATTTAATTGCGGGTACAATTTTATGACAACAAAATGTGAAGGGCTATTCTGAGTATTTTTAATTTAACTCTGACGGTCTGTCTCATTTAACAGATGCTGTTATTAGTTACAGATGACTTTGTCATTTTACGTATATACAACATGTACTCTAAAAGGTTTGAAAAGAAAGACCCTTTTTATAATAATAGTTCATTGTCTTGAATTTTCCTTCCCAATGGGAATCTGAAAAAGGCAAACCTCATGTAATAACAGTCGCTTGTAATTTTACATACGCCAAAATACTACTTATTTGCTCATATATATTTATAGAGTTTATATATATTTATATATACACATCACGTCTATTTGATATACAGATATATTACTAAGATATCACTTATGTTACTCTTCTGTGTATGGCATGTATTTTAATCTGCCGCCTTGCCTTTGTAGCGTGGCCAGCGAAACTCATCTTTGCAATAGGTACTGACACATCCAGCTAGAGTGATCAAAGAAAGTAGCAATACAGTTATTCCCTGTTTGAGAGTGTCCAGAGCAGACTTCTCAACAGAATAACTTTTAAACTGTATACACCGCTCCCTTTTAGGTTGTTTTTTTTTCTCCTGCTGTAATTTCTAAGTGCTGCATTATAAGGGAAGCAGATGTTTCTCCAGGATTCTAGGTGCCATGGATTCAAATCACATACCCTTCATGCTAATCCTTGCTGGCACAGGGTGGATAATGGCATCTGTTATAACACCCTGGGGTGTTTGAGGCCCCCCTCCCCCAAGGACTGTGCATACAAAGGTATTATCAATATGAAATTAAATAGTTCAAAAGTGCATATCATTATGAGACTCTTTCAATTTGGGAAAAAAGCATGATAGATTTTCAAAAGCTCTTTTCAGAAATCTGGAAATGTTTCACATACTATCACGTATGTAATTTTGCTTTGGGTGATAAAGCATTCTTACAACATAATGAGCTCAATCTTTTAAATGAAATAATATACAGTACCTATTTATATTTATTTTATATTTATTTATACACACACACACAAACACGTAAACAATCTAAGTTAAGAAGTTTGAAGAATAGCCAGAGGCTTTTGTAGCCGTATGATACACAACTGTATTCCTCAGAATATTTTTTAATAAAATAATATAAAAATTAACCTAAGAAGCTGATATTACACATAGCTTAAATTCTGTCATCAGCATATATTGGCAGGCATTGGTTGTATTCTTTAATTTTTTACTTTGCAGGTGTATGGCAAGGAGAGTCCATTTAGTTTAATATTATCACAGTTTAACTTCTGCTATTATTTGTCATATGTCAGATGCCCTAATTCTTCAAAAGGATATTATATTGACATATTTTTGATTATTTTCTGATCATCAGACAAATGTGAACCATGTTAAAAATAACTCACTGTTTGGGCCAATAATGTTCCACATTTTCAAAATGATTTACTGCTGAAAACTCTATGAAGCCCAAACGTTTTATGCAAGACCACGTAACTGGGAGATCATCCCACGTTGCTATAAATATTTTTCTATAGATGCACCACAGAAGGACAAAAGGAAATGCATTAATCTCAGGTGTCACATTTTTCAGATGCTGGAATCCCAGATATGGAAATAGAACACAACGGAACCCAACATGACAGTGCAGCAATGCAAGGTGGAGTATATACCTCATCCCATCACATACGTGTTTGTCATAAGCCATTTTAAAAGTTAAATGAAATACAGAATGTTTTTTTTTCCTCTGTTTTGCTACTTAAAGACAAACATAAATTACAGAACTTTCTATTAATTTTGTTTTCTTGTTCAGCATAAAAATCATTTGTAAGATCAGTATTTTACAAGATCAAGAATTAAACTGGTTAAAGAGAGGTGTGAGAATCATATTTAGCTATCAAATAGATGAGCTTAATCCAAAAGTGAATTTATATATGACTTATCTTTTTAAAATGTTTTAGCTCTGCTCCTTACCTTCCTATCAATATCGTAGGTGTTTTCAAAAAATACATAAACCGTAGATGTTGGAAATCATCACTAGGAAGGCAAATCTAGCAAGACTGAAGTTCCAGGATGCTTAAAAGAAATATTAGTTATGCACTTAAATAAATATGCAAGTACTAAAAAGAATGAAAGGAATATCTCTGAGCGATAGAGAACTCTATCTCAGGTATTGCTAGAACCAAAACTCCCAGTGCACGCTCAGTTCAGCACCTTTTTATACGTGTTCTTATATGATTACAGGCCTTTTTCTTCCAAAGGGAGTCCGCTCCAGGAATCAGTGCAAAGCAAGGATGATGTTCACGTGATAAGCAATTATGTAATATTCCATTTTCCTCATTGTTCACTGTAAATACAGAACATTCATATATTGTCTGAGTGCCTGCCAAATAATCATAAACGCATTCTAACTGTAGGCCTGTGAAGTAAGGAAGTTGTATAACCATTCTATAGATGGGCAGCTGAGATACAGAGATCTTAACATCAGATATTTCCATTTCCATTGGAGGCCTATTTGAGACACCTAGGAGTGGGTTTTTCTGAGTACAATAGTGTTTCCCCCAGCTTCATGTGTTTAAAACACATGGCTGTATTTTGGCGTCAGCTGCAGTTGTGGTGCTTGGTTCTGTAGATCAGATCACAGGGTCTCATATTCCCGATGCTTGCCTGCAAAGATAAAGAAACAGAAAACAATCACCTGTGAAAATATTTGTTCTGAACAACTTGAACAACGTAACATGGGTACTTTCTGAGTTTGGAGAAGGTCCAGTTTCATAGTGTTGGTTTTCTGTAAAACCAGCCTTTTCTCCCTTCAGTCCTTTTCCGTGTTCATTACACACCATTCAGTTTCTGCACCAGTTTATAAAGCAGCCTGAAGACAGCTGCCTGTTTCAATATAACCCTCTTCCTTCTTAGATCCTTTCACCCTTTGTACTGAGTCATGTAATTGTTATGGGTAAAAAATAATGTATGTTTAGGTAACTACGGACAGTCCTCTTCTGTTTAGACAGAAGAGGACTGCAGTAAGATTATACACAAAAACAACTTTTTAGCATTTCTCAACTGTTGAGGGCTTGATCTTGCATACCTAATAATTGGTCTTTTGTCATAGTTTGGATTATGTAATTTCTGAGGTCAGACATCTGCAATGACAAGTTAAGAAAATGACACTGTCCCCTCCCACCCCCCTAGTCCCCTGGCTACAGCTGCACGCTCCTTGTGCTGGGTAGCAGGGGTTGGACAATTAGATCATCAGAGCCGTCAACAGAGCACGTTCTGGTCCTGTCCTCTTTCCTGCCGCTGCTTCTTCAGCTGAACATCTCCTCAGCCAGCAGGCCCCAGGTGCACCATGCCATCCAGGACTCCTGATTTGGGGAGTTCTTGTCTGTCCCTATTGACTGGTTTATCCTTGACAACTCTTCCTTCCTCCAGCACCTAGCCCTCTCATTTTGGCCTGTAAGCCCCGGTCTCCCCGTTGTGACAGCTAGTCATATGATGTCCCTCTTTCTCGTGTTGCCTTCCATATCCCCCCGACTCATCCTGCAAGGATTCCTTGCTGCAAACTCTTTGCTCATCCCTATCCGTATTCTATATCCCTGTCTTCCGCAAATCCAACTGTTTGTTAGATTGGTCTCTCTTTTCTGCCTCTACTCCTCTTCTCTGGTTCTTACTCTGTGTCTTCTTTCCAGAAATTCCTTGTGTGTATGCCTGTTTCTTTTCATCTAGTCTGCCTCTGCTGGTTTCCTTGTTCATACCCAGCCTCTGTGTTTCTCCTATCCTGTACCCTAACTCCAGGCACACTGTGACACTTCCTTGCTAGTCTCACTTTTCCACACTTACATCATTTGAATCAGGCTGCTTCCTTTATCATGCTCTAGGCCCAAGAGCACAGCTGCCTCAGCCTACAGCAACCCAGTCTATACTGCCAAGGAAAATCGGTATTCGGCAGGCTTAGATAGCGGATGTCCAGTGCAGACAATGTCATGATGCCACAATCTGAAGTCTTTCCATGTGCAGATCATAATTTTACCATAGTTTTTGACCTGGCCGAAGGGGATGAAGTCCATACCTCAGCTAATATTTTGGGTCCCAGATGCAGCAAAGGAAAGATTAGAAGCACTTTTACTGTAAAACCCTGAATTTTTTCTTGATTTTGTTCTTGGAAATAGCTGACCATTCTGCTTAAAACTACAAAATTAAAGTTTAAAAAACCTGTAAGGAGCTGAAGGCAGGGTTTCATAATGAGAAATGTCAGGCAATCTTCATCAAGATGGTTCTGTCACCTACAGAGGAAACCTGTCAAAGATTTTTTCTGCTGTTTCTGTTTCTTTTGTGATTTTAGGTTCATATACTATGTATTACAAAGAAGGAGAATCGCAACTATTTTATATACATATGTGTATATATGTATATATATATGTATCATTAGAGTGGTGCTCTAAACATTGCAATGTGAAAAGTTTTTAGTGCCAGAAGTAGTCAAAATTTTAGATGAGCGCTTGAGACGTGCATTTAAATTTGACAAGCAAAAATATTCCTAACATTTATGGTGCTATTTATGATACCTGCTGAGATCATTGCTCTACCCACAAAGATTCTGAGAGTCAAAAGGGCATCTAGACTGAGTCTAGTAAAAAAAGGAAGTTAATTTCTTAATTTCTTAATTTCTATATTTAATTGAAGAAAAAAGCAAACTGTTAGTGTTGGCTCAAATCTTTCTACTTTTCTGTCAAAATGATTATAAATAACCTTGGGGACAGTGATGCCTAGCCACTTCCAACAGCTATTGACTTAAGCAGAAAGAATTGGAGAACTTTCCTGCACTTCCTGTAGTCTACTGATATGCTCTTGCTATTCTTGAGTGGCAGATCATGTTTTCTCTTCACTACAGTAACGAGTATGTACACAGACTTCTCTGACAATTTAAATACGATAATTCTGCTTGTATTTAAGTGTGATGAACTTAGCCAGTTCTTTTACAAAGCACTCCCAGCTGATAACGTTTCTGAAAAACTCTCTGTTAAGCTTGTTTAGATTTCAAAGCATTTCTGTCCAGTAGCACCATCTACTTCAATTTTCTTTATGCTGACACTATAATATCTTTGTATTCTATTTTCCTTTGATTACAGTTTTTAAAACTTGACAGCTACTATTGCCCTTTAGTCTTCAACAATTTGAACACACTCCCTTCATTGCCGACTTCATTTGCTGGCTTTGTTATTTGGGCATTGGGAGGAGCGAGGGTCAAAACATGCAACCCTAATACAAAGCTGTTTTCAAGCTTCCAAAATATCTCTCTAGTGCACAGAAAAAGCTCTAGCATCAATGCAGACCTTTCTTTTTCTGTTGTCAATAGCTCTGCTGGACAGAAATCTATCATTCACACAGTGCCTTTGCTTTGAAATTCAATTAGTTCCACTGCCAGCATCTCCTTAAGACGATTTAAAGGAAAATTACAAAAATACTGCACAACCACCTTTCACAGTGATTAAGTCATATCATATTTTATGCTCATTTCTTAAAATGATTTTATTAACACAAGCTGTTCATATACTGTGATTCTGATATGCATTATAAATCTTTTCTGTTTAGTTGATTCATTTTCTCTATGCTTTGTATATTAATTGAACTGAAATGTTGTGCATACAATACTAACATGTTTTCTAACTTTATAGTCTAATACCTCCCATCTTCATATACCTAGTCTTCTCATCAAGCATAGCTTAATCTGAGAGAAGCTTTTTAGCTGACAAAATAAAAAAGTAATAGTTGCTGTACTCATGATGCCCCCTGCATAGCTGAGTACTGGAGAAAAGGGTGATACGTGCACACAGATACCCTTCTGTTCTTGTTTCCATAACTCACTTGTGGGCCAGCAAGATAGTGCATCAACCATTTTATCCACCAATCTCCGTTTCACATAAAATAAACATACTGGGTGTCATTAAGTGCACCTTCAGATCAATGATTTTTGCAAATGACATTCAAGTACCATTCGAGTAGTGCATTTTTGCTGATAAAAGCAAATTAAATTAGCACAACTACAAGTGTGCTGATAAAAACTAAAACCGAACAGCAGCACCATTAGCTAACAAAGTAATATTTTCTCTTTACTGCTTTCTGCCATTTAGTTATTATCCTATTGGAAATCTAATTATAATCCTTTTACTCCCTAGTCAAACTTCACAGTTTTTGCAAGCTTAGCACTGACAAGTGATTTCATTACATTTGATTGCCCGCGCCCAGATTGACTTAACTTCACTCCGAGACCTAAAAGCCCTCTCAGTTTCTCAGATTCCCTGTTTGCACATTACAGCAACAGCTCCTTTAATTAATTAGCATGAACAGCAGTAACATGAACTGCTGAACAGAAAATAACATCATTTTATGATCGCACAGAGACTTCTCCTTTTGCATGTTTATACCTTAGTTAACTTTTGTATTACTATATTTCATTGTTAGGGGATATTGGAACAATCAGCAAAGCAATGTTATCTTAAAATTTTTAAAAATAAAAGTTACCGTAATACTTGATGATAACAACTTATAAAAAATAAAGACACTCCAAATCTCAGGAAAGAGACATCGGCGTAGGAGGACAGACTTTTCTGAGGTGAAAACACGTTTGAAAGGAAACCTGGTTCACTGCACGTGCAAGAG